AAATGTTCAGTATTATCTTTCATCTCCCATTTCCTCCTTCTATTGAGACAAAGGCTGCCACATCTTCCAACTATCCTATCCTTTCAATAGATTTGGGATTCTAAATATCTTTACGGGGTGAAGGAGAGGGCATGTCCTCTCCAGTCATCTTTAATTAGTTTCTCCTACTTTGCAATCTTCTTCCATTGACAATGTTTAAGGGGTAGCAAAATCTATGTAAGCTTTATGGCTCCACCTAATGGACATGGGACAGCTCTAGGATGCATACATAGTTTATAAAAATGCAGTTATATTCTTAGCCAAATTCTCCCTAATTTTTTTTAACTAAGAAAATAATTGATGAAAAACTAATGACATTTCATAACAGAAATCCACTTGTCTACACTGGAACTAGTAAGTAAACTACCAAGAAACTTTAAAAATTAAATTGGATAATTTTGTACACAACATACTGAACCATGAGTATATTCTGATGCCTGGGAGTCTAATTTTCCCACATAGCACATAAGGGACACCGCTCTAAAAATATTCTTAGATGGACCATTGGATTTACACAGGTCACCTGAATTCAGAGAAAATTTGATCGCACCTTTTCAGGCTGAGGAATTTTATTAAAAAGTATAAACTTTTAATGGCTCACTTCATCAGATGCACTAAATGGTTAAACTTAATATATATATATATACACACATAGGACAAGATGAGGACGGAAAAGGAAAAAACTTTGATCTATAAATACTGCTGCATTGTCCTTCTATCAGATGAGATGCACTCAAAGAAAGCCATGTGGCTGACATTCTGAAGCTTGAATGACACATATCAGATATTACTAAACAAAACAACTCAGTCTCAGTTTACAACTTTTATATTTGGTTGTCAATAATCCAAACATTGGAGTCACACAATATGTTATGCCATAATGTGGGTTTTTGTTTATAGTTCAGTATATGATTTGTAAAGGATAGTTTATGGATTGGTATTGTTTGTGAATCCAACCAATTATCATTTATTTAATTAACCATGTTTAGACAAGTTACTGCTTAATGTGATATGGGTTCTCATATTACGCCAAGTGATATTTTTGATTTGTTTGGTTTATTATCCTGCATTGACCTAATGTAGCCATTGTGGTTTATATTAAAGCATATTATTGTGTGCAAAACCAGCTTCTTGGATGAGAAGCAAAACATCTTCAAAGAAGTTGCCTCTTGAAAAAGCACCTTTGAGACTATCTATATTTATCTTTATTAAGGTAATAACAGAAAGTTAGGACACTGCCCTCAGCAATCACTCTATATATTTTTCTGAGAAGTTGATACTTATATTCTATAGTGCATAAAATATTTACAGCAAAAATGATGAGAAAATTAAGTTTTTAACTTCCTTTTTAGCAGGACACTAAACATCTTTAGTAATGATATCTCTGCCTAATAAATACTATTATGCAAGCAGATAATTAGAAATATGAAAAGCAGATAATGCAATCTACCTAAAACAACATGCACTTCCAGTTTTAGTACATTTCATAACTAAGTGTTACTTCATATAGCAAGTTTATTAGAAAACATTTTGTTTTAAGATTCACCCATGCTTTTGATTGAATTCATATATCACACTAAGCCATAGTTTGTTGAATAGACCTTAGTAAGTTTAAACATCATGCTAAGCCAGATGGCATAGTTTATAAACAATAATGGCTCACACATAATGATAAACCAATACTAAACAAATCCCTGATTATAACTTGGAAAAGAAAAAAGTCACTTTGGAAAGAGATGGCGGATGGGGGGGCAGAACATATACATTTATAAATAAATAAATTACAGTAAGCCTAATCATTATCAAACCATTTCATTCTAAAAATGCCTTGCTGGCACATTGCAAGAATGGAAACTTCTGTTGTTAATAGAGTACAAGCTAGAAATATTCCAGAAGTGTAAAAAGAACCATGGCCATGACACTGATGGGCTGTTGCCAGAACTGGCCTAAATAATACAGTAGTACCAGTTAGTTTCATATGGGAAAGAAGGTGGGGAGAGGTTGTCAGGTTCTATATAACCTACACAGATGCAGAATGAGATGTCCTCTAAACCAGCAGCTTGCAACTTTTTTGGCAACAGGGACCAGTTTCATGAAAGACAATTTTTCCATGGACTGGGAGAGGGGATGGTTTCAGTTTTGCCAGCTTGCCCACTGTTCACCTCCAGCTGTGTGTTCCAGTTCCTAACAAGCTACAGACCGGTACTGGTTCAGGGCCCAAGGGCTGGGGACTCCTGCTCTAAGCTAATGTTTTTTTCAACCCTGGCAACTTTAAGATGAGTGAATTTCAATTCCCAGAATTCCCTACACAGGATACTTTAGAATTATGGGAGTTGAAGTTCAGCCATCTAAAAATTGTCAAGATTGAGAAACATGGCTCTAAACCCATTAAGTATGCGGTCCTGCCACGTTTCAAAGAAACGTGCAACCATATTTTAAGAAAATTTAGATAAACTGGAACAGTTGGAGTGGGTGGTCTGGAGACTGAAACCACAGTCTTAAAAAAAAATGACTGAGAGAACCTGTTATGTTTTGCCTTAAAATGAGAAAACTGTTGGCACTTTGAAGAATATGAAGGAGTGTGAAACTGTGTTCAAAGGGCAAGTTCTGTATTGTGCCAGCATAATGAACATGGAACAACAATCTAAACTGCAGGTAGGCATATGCCAGGTGAATATTAGTAAAAAATAACTAATTTTAAGAGGAGTTTGACTGTAGAACCAAATACCAATATGGGATTTTCTCTACTGGATAACCTTAGGTAAAGACTGAATTATAGCTTTTATTAAATATGGTTTAATTTGAATTCCTAAACTGAAAAGGGATGCACATTTCCAATTCCCTGAATTGAAGGGAAATGGTAATTAATGTTTTCCACACAGAGGTTTCTCATGATATATTACATCTACAATTTGATGTTTTGCTGTATGCTGTTGCTTCTTATGTTCACAGGAGGAAAAACACAATCAGGATGAACATATGCAAATAAAGGCAACACTTCTCTGTGTTTAAAATATTTGGAAAGAGAGAATTCTGCATCCATGGCTTGTATAACAGTTTATGACAGAACATAATTTTATAGAATTATAAAAGGTGCAGGTTGTAATTTGCCCATTTAGCTAGCAGGAATCTTCCTGGGTACACAGCTTAGAGAAAAAGAAACAGAAAGATATTAAAACAGTGGAGGTATTCTTGGATATCTCATCCTCTTCCACATTTCCAAATCAGGCTTTTATTATAAAAATTCTGTCTTGCCTCAAATATGGATGTCATCTTCAATTTGTAAGCCAGGAATAATGTGACCTGATGCCATTGACAAATGGCATCTTTTTCTTTTCCACTTCTAGAAGCAGAGTGTTTACTATCAGTGGTGTAGTAGGCTGGATTGGAGGATGCACAGCAGGCAATTATTTAAAAAACAGAGCAAGGAGTGGGTCTGTATTGTTGTACTGCTTCTTTTTTTCTTACAAACAAAAGATTCATAAAGTAGGAGAAATATAGTCATATAAAGCTTTTCTGTTAGTAGCTAGAAATTTTCAAGTGTGGAAGCAACATATCCTAAAATTTAACATATTGATTTACCTGAGGGAAGACTAATTTATTCTAAATTAATCTACTTATAAAATAATTTTTGATTCACTCAATCGTTGCATGATTGAATGTTCCTTCATTCAGAATCTTGTAACAGATTTTTCTCTATTCTTCTTCTTTAACCAGCGTTTAACTTGAAACACAGTATCATCTTCCTTTCAGATAACCACAGTTCAAATAACATTGTTTTCTAGTCAGCAACCTGGACACTGAAAAAAGAAAGTACTGAGTGTTCAAATGTCTTTAATATGTTTGCTATGCAACAAAGATCAAAAGTGTCTGTTAGCATGAAGGCAACTACCACAATTCACCTGTTCTCTTCTAATCCTTTCTCCTGCAGGACTATAATCACCAAACGTCCTGCAGGACAGAACCTAGCTGTTTGACAAATATTTAAGCAATATTTATTGCACTTTTATTTACCAGTACTCACATTATTTGGAAACCACTTCAGAGGGCTATTCAGGTAAGATGTAAAGTATTACTATAAAAATAACCAGTTCGTAGCCCAATACCTTAGTTTTTTTCATTCTTTCAGATGCTTCATAAAACATTTTTAGGAGGAGCCCGCCTGATAGCCTACAATTGCTATCATCTCACCAATCTGCATAAGGATCGCACTAAACCCGTTCTTACACAAAGATACTGCAATTCCCATCATGCAACACAAGAAGGCGGTTCCCAATATACAAAGCGACACTGGCGTCATCCAGGAGCATCCATGCAATTACTACGTGAAGGTTTATGACGCGAGGAGCATGGCAAGTTGGGAAAAGTTGCAGAATTCTTTTTAAAAAATAATTCTTACAGTGTAGGTATCATGCTTTGTCCATTGAGTCACCAGCTCCAAAGTCAGAAAAATGCATGAAATAAAAATGTTTTTGCTAATTTCTGCCTACTCTATACTTTCTTCGCTTCCATTTGTCATAGGGTATAAAAAAAACGGAAATTAACGTCGTTATGGAAACGGGGTTGTTTTTTTGCTAACTCTCTGGAAAGTTCTGGGAGAAGTGAAACATGCATATCTTATTTTTCTTTAAATGAGGAACAGTCTCACACTTAATATCAAATGCTGTTCGCAATATAGTCCAAGAGATAGAGTTTGAAAAATGAATGGAAAACAGTCAAAGTAAGGCCTGCTACTCCCGCCTTTAACCGTGGTTGGCCATTGAGCATAGCAACAACCAATGGAGCCCAGCCACGCTTTGGCGCGGGGAAACTTCACCTGGAAGACAATGATTGGCAGAAAGATATCTCCACCTTCCCCCTCCTTTCTTGCTATTGGCTCTGGGTTTGGCGTGGTGCGCTCCGATTGGCGCGGCCGGGAGGCTTTTCCCCCCGCCCCCTGCGTGTGGTAGTGATAAGCTTGGGGGTCGGGCTGGCCTTGGTTAGTGCCTCAACTGTTAAAACCCGTGCAGGTCCTCCCACGAGAGAGGGGAGGGTAGTGGTTTCTCTTTATCAATTGCCCTTGGAGGCACACAGAAGGCCGGTACGAAGCTGTATCTCTCGCCGTCTCGGGCACCCTTGAGATGAAGCAACTGTGGGGACTTGGCCTTTTATGCCTCCTTCTGCTGGCTGGTGAGTGCGCGTGGCGGGCGGTTTCTGGAATATTCCCTGCGTGGCGGAAGGAAAAGAAAATTCCTCCTTCAACTTTTTACCTCAAGCTGGTTCTCCTGCCGCCCTTATACGGCTTTTGGCGTGACTGCCTCGGTCGCCGAGGGAGGAGGTTGGGTATTTTCCCTTCGTGCGGCTCTTTCCCTCTGGGGCAAGGAACTTAAAATGGCGGGGGGCGATTGTAAAACTGAGGCGCCTCTTCGTCCCAAGGAGATTTGTGGATTTGTGATAGCTCAAGTGGAGTCGCCCTTCTGAGAAATGGTCCCCGGTTTGTGGGGTGCAGAGTTTTAAAGGGGCGTCCAGAAGGCGCAGGTGTGGGGTAGGGAAGAAAGTGGAGGCACCGAGAGGCGTACTACTAACTTGGGAAAGGCTTGTTCGTGGAAGAACATTAATGAAAATCCTTTGAACTTTAGTGAAAATCTTTTGAACGTAACGGGTTGAACAGGTTTGAACATCAAAGTGCTCTAACTTTACTAGCCCAGCAAGGCCGCTTTCCCTCTGTGGGAGTCTGGCCGGAGATTAAAGAGGGAGTTTACGCAAATGGTCCCAGAAAGGGACGCTGGTGTCGGATTTATGATTTACGCCGGCTGGATTTGTTTAGGTCCAATTTGGCACATGATGCGTAATTCACGCTTCCCCATCCTTTATTGAGCTGCGAAGGTTGATGACTTTAGCTTCTCTCCTGGGAGTACTGTTTAAAGTCTACTTGCTTATTGGCAAGAGTTTGAAAGCGTACTAATCTTTCCAGGCATTTTCACATTTTTTTTTTCGTTGTCTCACCATGATGTCTGCTATGAAATATGATTTTGAATAGAATGGGCATGAACCCTGTGTCTATGACTCTATAAATGGCACTGCTGGCTCCCCATTCTAATTTTCAGCTGCTTTCTGATGGGAAAAGTGAACTGCACCATTTCTTTTTTCGCAATTTTTTGTTCAAGCATTTGAGATCCTCCATGCTGTCTGCATGCATAGATTAGCAGTTTTACTTTGGTGTTGTGGAGCTAACTTATCCAAATTATTTTTGCAGCATCTGCCCAGGCTGAGGAACCTGATGTGGATGGCACTGTCGAAGATGACTTGGGTAAAAGCAGAGAAGGATCTCGGACAGATGATGAAGTTGTTCAGAGGTTTGCTTTTTAAAATGTCTGCTTAACCAGGCTTTGTAATTCATATTTCAAACACATGCCTGCTCACTGATTAAAATGAGACACACCTCTAAATAAGGATGCCTGCCATTGAGATCTAACACTTTGATCTAGTGGGATATTGATGACTTATATTAAGATTCTAATGCTGGTGAAATCTTGTAGGAGAACATTTGCCAGTTTTATTTTGGGCTTGGAAAACTGGATTGTAATTGTTCTTAAAGTCATAGAACTTGTAAACATTTTGTTACTATTATGTTAAATCTTTTAACAATCTTTTTTGAAAAGATTGCCCCCTGAAGTATGTTTAATATAGGAAAGCTTGCATGAAAACCTAATGATTATATAATTGCATCCAAAGTGCACTATAGAATTGGTTTGAAAAATGAAATGGAAGTCTTTTAGATTTTTCAAGCTGCAAGAAAAGGATAAGATATATAGCTGAAATTGATGCTATGCTGAAAATTGATATGGTTTTATCTTTATATAATATCACAGATCGGCATATAATACTTTTGATATCAGAATAGTTTGCTTTTGTGCTTAGAGAACTAATTATATGAGGGATATGCAACCAAATTCTTAGCAAGAATTTTGATACTTAGATCATTTATATAGCATCTCCAGGAAAGCAAATGTTTCTTCTTGATAAATGAAAGATAAATATCTGTTTCTCATTAATTTGACCAATTCATCAAGAAGGATTATGTACTTTTTCTACTGGTTGCACTATCTTGATGAATTTACAGTTATTAAGAAAGTGCAGATTTATTATAACTTACTGATAGACATAATGCAATTGCTTAAATAGTGGCATGGAAATTAAATGTGAAACAAAATACTCTGTCCTGCTACAGTAGTTTATAGTAGGTATATTATCATAGTTACCCAGAAGGTTGAAATGTAGTATGTAGAATGTGTAAAATATTAGAGAGAAAAAAGGGGAGGGGGTTTTAGTTTAAGAAAAGGCAAACTTTGCATGCAGCAGGGGAATTCTTCTGCAGACTAGTGTTTGGCTTCACCTGGAGTTGCAGCAAAAGCATACATATAAGTCTAGAATAAATTCTTATTTTCCAGGATTACTTAAAAATAAAAAATTAATAATACATGAATGGATCTTTGTTCTCTGCAGGGAAGAGGAATCTATTCAATTGGATGGTTTAAATGCATCACAAATAAAACAGCTTAGGGAAAAATCAGAAAGGTTTGCCTTCCAGGCTGAAGTAAACAGGATGATGAAACTTATTATCAATTCGCTCTATAAAAATAAAGAGGTAAGCCTTAATATACCTATCTAAAAGTTTTGATACAAATGTTTCTGTGCTTATATCTGCCTACTTTAAAATTTCTTACAGATTTTCCTTAGGGAATTGATTTCAAATGCATCTGATGCTCTAGACAAAATACGGTTGATGTCATTGACTGATGAAACTGCTCTTTCTGATAATGAGGAACTCACAATAAAAATTAAGGTAAGATGCTAATGATTTTCCTTAATATTTCTTTAAATTATTTCATTTTCTATTTTAAAAACATCTTTCGTATGATTTGGAGGAGTTAATGCAGAGATTCAAGTGTGCCTTTCACATTTTAGAAGGGATTGTCTGCAGAAAAGGATAGATGAGAAGATACTGTTGCATCAGATTCATTTAATAGACTCTTTTTTTCTTTGGATTATTCTGTATTAACAGCTTCTTTAGGACAGGACTATCATTACAGTTCATATATATATGAACTGATACAGTTCATATATATATATGAACTTTCCTCCCTGATACAGCTGACAAAGTGAGAAAGAGCCTATGGCCTAGAGGTTAATACAGCTGCCTAACATGTACACAGCCCTGGCTCGAATCTCAGAAGGGTAAGTCTGGCTGAAGAGAGTTAAGAAACTCGAAATAGCTATTCCATTCTCCCTTAATTCTTTGTTAGCAATCCAAATTTTATATATATGTATGTATGTAAAATATATATATGCATGGCTGGGACCCATGACGAGGTCAAGAAGCTGGGCGCAAAGAACGCCACATTTATAAATAGCTTCTCCCATCGACTGGAGACTACCCTGATGATGCTGGCAGATGCCAGCAAAAGCTTGGTTTTATTCTGGTTTTATTAAAACTTTTTATAGTTTTATAACTTCCTGGTGTTCGTATATTTTATTGTTAAAATTGATGTCTATTGGTGGCATGTGAAATTCGTATCCAACTAATTATTTTTGTTTTACAGTGTGATAAAGAGAAGAATATGCTTCATGTTATAGACACTGGAATTGGCATGACAAAAGATGAGCTAATAAAAAATTTGGGTACCATTGCTAAATCTGGTACAAGTGAATTTCTAAATAAAATAACTGAAATGCAGGAAGAAAACCAGTCAACCTCTGAATTGATTGGTCAGTTTGGTGTTGGCTTCTATTCTGCCTTCCTTGTGGCAGATAAGGTTATTGTTACCTCAAAGCATAATAACGACAGTCAACAGATCTGGGAATCTGACTCAAATGAGTTCTCTGTAATTGAAGATCCTCGGGGTAATACCTTGGGACGAGGCACTACTGTAACGTAAGTTTTACAACTTTTATTAATATTTTTATTAATGAAAATACATATTTGGTTTTTATTAAATGAAATGTATTTCTGCAGAGAAAGATGCAGAAAATTTCTAACAGAAGTTTCAGTGCTGTGTAATACTTAAAATTGGTATTAAAGATCCCTCAACTAGGGTGATATTTTTAGCTGTATCTACTACAGTTATGTCTAGTACCACAGTTCCAATTTTATTTTATGTAGTATACTACAGTGGTATTACATTGCTATTTTCTTTGGTGGATGCTATTTTTTTATACATGATGGAATCAGATTTTATAAAGTAATTTTATATTTTATATTTGCGTATGTTTGACTAGACAAATACTAATCTTTGAAAGAAATGATTTTTTTAACATAAGAGATACAAGGTGTTTCTGACAGAGTGTACATAAAGTCTCAGTTGTTAGGTTAATACATGGTAGAGAGATTTAGTGATAAAGACCAGATTTCTGTATTGGAGGCTTTGAATTTAACTACCATTTCTTGTAGTTTAGTGCATTTCTGTACTTCATTATCTTCCATGGGAAGGAAGGATTTGATTGTGACCAAAAATAGGTTAGCATTTAAAACACACACACACCTTCCCTGATGGTGAAACTTCTTGGTGTTCAATATTATATCCTCATTAGATACAGCAAACGTATCATTGTTACCTATATCAAAGTATCACAAAAGAAGTTAGTACCCTCGCCAAATGAAACTTGTTTTGATAAAAAGGAACAGACAGTATATGAAATGTCAGAGCTCTCTTTGTTTGAAATATTTTAGCAGTAGAACTTATCAGTTCTGTGTAAAATATAATTTGCATTGTTGCACTTTTCTTTTAGTAACTTGTTTGTAAGGTTAATAGTTCAATTTCCAAAATGGTTTTGAGTTAATACAGCACTGAATTGCTTTTTTTGTTTGTTTGTTTTATTTTTTTGTAGCCTTGTTTTAAAAGAAGAAGCTTCAGATTATCTTGAACTAGATACAGTTAAAAACCTGGTCACGAAGTATTCCCAGTTCATTAACTTTCCAATTTATGTATGGAGTAGCAAGGTACATATTTTGTAATACTGCTAATTGGCATAATATTTAAAGTGGAAGATATATTAGTCATGAAAATCAGTTTTCAGAGATGAAACTTATGAAGGCACAAGGAAAAACGAATCAGGCACCTCTGATAGGAAAAAAAACTATAGGACTATAGTTAAGTAAATGAAATCTCAGAAGTTTGTAAAAAATTTTCATGATCTAAAATATGAATAGATTGGAACTCAAAGTCATATTCCTGCCTGTTACTTTTAGTTGCATTTTGCAGCAATGTCAGTCAGTTACCAGTGCAAAAATTATAATTTACTGAAGGCATAGCATTGTTAGATTAGCAAATACTATATAAAAACTACATAAAAACATATATCGATCTTAAACAATGAATTGACATGGAATATCTCTTCAGTGTTTGTGACTATGCTTAAAGTACATAATAAGTTTAGAACAGAACAGAATAATAGAGTTGGAAGGGACCTTGAAGGTCTTTTGGTTCGACCGCCTCTGCTTAAGCAGAAAACCCTATACTATTTCAGACAAATGAAGTTTACATTCATCACTTAGTTATGTATCGTAATTGCTTATGAGAACATGTTTGAAAAATTACTTGAATTAATATGCAATATTTCTGTAGACTGAGACTGTAGAAGAGCCTCTTGAAGATGAAGAAGTAAAAGATAAAGATGAGACAGATGATGAAGCTGCTGTGGAGGAAGAAGAGGAAGAGAAAAAACCCAAAACTAAACCGGTAAGATTTCTAACATTTAAAATTAATCAAATTAATTAACAGCTTTTTTAGATTTTTATCAAATCAGTTTGTGAAAACTGATAGTTTCATTTTATCAGAGTAAATTAATGAATTTGGAAATGCTTGTAGGTTCAGAAAACAGTCTGGGATTGGGAGCTTATGAATGACATAAAACCAATTTGGCAGAGGCCATCTAAAGAAGTGGAAGAGGATGAATACAAAGCTTTCTACAAATCATTTTCTAAGGTGGGTTTACCTTTATAACTTGGGACTGATTTAGGATCATGTCTGTCAAAATTCTTGGTATCAAGTAAGGGGGGGGGGAATGGAGCAATGTGAACCATTCTGTTCTGAGCTTTTTTTTTTTAAAGCAGCATGCTGTGTCCTGTCCTAATGTATTGTTCATATGTGGAACAAGAACAAACATTTCTCTCCATACATTGCATTTTTTTGCTGGAATGAGTAAAATATCCACTTCTTACATTTGTAATACATTTATTTTCAACCTTTGTGGAAGTGAGGATTTTAGGATTTGGCTTTTTTTGCAGGAAACTGATGAGCCAATGACTTATATTCACTTTACTGCTGAAGGAGAAGTGACATTCAAGTCCATCTTATTTATTCCCAATACTGCTCCACGTGGCTTATTTGATGAATATGGATCCAAAAAAAGTGACTTTATAAAGGTAAAAATAAGATCCAACTTTTTTAAAAGCAAGAGAAATTGCAGATATAGTCTTACAAAAGTAATTGGTTAAAATTTTGTTTTGCAGTTGTATGTCCGTAGAGTATTCATCACAGATGACTTCCATGATATGATGCCCAAGTATCTTAACTTTGTCAAGGGTGTTGTAAGTATTTTCAGGGATAATTGCACTAACCATTTAAGAAACGTATCATTTTAATTTTTTGCTAAACCTCTATAAATGTTCCTTTTCTAAATTTAGGTAGATTCAGATGATCTTCCTTTAAATGTATCTCGTGAAACCCTCCAGCAGCACAAACTACTAAAGGTATGTCAATTACTACTATAGCTTCTAATTAGTCTTCAGGACAATATCTAGGCCTGTTTTTATATTCTCTACTTCCTACTTAACTTGGCAAGGATGGTAATGAAATCTTTCAAGCCCCATTAGCATCAAGTCCTTGCTTATAGATTCAGTTACTCCATATGTGGGTTAAAGCATACCAATGGTAAAAGACCATGTACTAGAATGGATTTTATCTATAAATAACTCAAGGCGACAAACATAATACTCCTTTATCCTATTACCCCACGACAATGACTCTGAGGATGGGTTGGGCTGAGAGAGAATGACTGGCTCATCTAGCTAGCTGGCTTCTATGTTCAGGGCAGGATTAGAACTCGGTTTCTGGACTGATGTTTTAACCACTAGGCCAAACTGGATGTCCTCATATATAAATTTGTCGTGCTAAAGAACAAGATGAGAATAATCTTATTCACAGTTAACTAGTTTCAGAAGAGTGTGCAGCAGTATTCATAACAGCTTTGATACCAAAATGGAAAATCATGATCAATACAAGTGGCATAGTTAAATTGAGTCACTCAATTGTGAGACAAGCAGCATATTAATTCAATAAATGTAACATTATCTGAAAACTGTACATGAGTTGTGTCATTTGTATAATATCTTCCCATTCATGCTGTAATAGCCATGGGAATGTCGATTATTCTGGTTGCTGGGCACAGTAAAGATATTAAAGGCACCTGTTACAGGAGGATGAGTATACATAGGAACTCACATTATGACATAGAAACTTGCATGGTTTTAGTTTTCTCAGATTCACCTGCAAATATTTCCCACCAAAGGGAAGCAATTTCAGATAAGTTGATTTCAATTCCTAAAATTCTCCGCTCATTTGGATATACCGTGAATTGAAATCAGTACATCTAGAAGTTGCACAGATTGTAAAATGGTGTTCATTTAAACTGGGATAAAAGATTAATCTTACATATTTTTTTTCTGAATTACTAGGTAATCAGAAAGAAACTTGTTCGGAAGACACTAGATATGATCAAAAAGATTGCTGAAGAAAAATACAATGACACATTCTGGAAAGAATTTGGCACAAATATCAAACTTGGAGTGATTGAAGATCATTCAAATCGGACTCGTCTAGCTAAACTTCTTCGTTTCCAGTCTTCTAACCATGAAAGCAACACTACTAGTCTAGATCAGTATGTAGAAAGAATGAAAGAGAAGCAAGACAAAATCTATTTCATGGCTGGTTCAAGTAGAAAAGAGGTAAAAAGTAATTTTCTAGCTAACTATTTCCAATTCATTCTTTTGAAGCTATAAAAATAGAAATATAGCAATTAAGTTTGTTTATAAAAATGGTGGTATCTTGTTCCATAAATATGATTTGCAATGGTAAATGCATTATTTGTTTCCGTCTAAAAATTTACAGGATTATGTCATACTAATATTTTGAATTTATCTTACAGGCTGAATCTTCACCTTTTGTGGAACGGCTTCTAAAGAAGGGCTATGAAGTTATATATTTGACAGAACCAGTGGATGAATATTGCATTCAGGCTCTCCCAGAGTTTGACAACAAAAGGTTTCAGAATGTTGCTAAGGAAGGAGTAAAGTTTGATGAAAGTGAAAAGTCAAAGGAAGCTCATGAGGCTTTAGAAAAAGAGTATGAACCCCTATTAACTTGGATGAAAGACAAAGCTTTAAAGGATAAAGTATGTATTTTAGAATTTATTTAGTATTCTTTCAAAAATGTCTTCTGTGCTATATTTGTACTTATACTACTTTTTCTTCCTGTTTAGATTGAAAAAGCAGTATTATCTCAGCGATTAACCCAATCACCATGTGCTCTTGTAGCTAGTCAATACGGATGGTCTGGCAACATGGAAAGAATCATGAAGGCTCAGGCTTACCAGACTGGGAAAGATATCGCTACCAAGTAATGCATAATTTATACAGTTATTTCTGGGCCTCATTTGGATCCTAATGTAATTTGTTTGGTTTGACTTAGTACAGTATAGGAAGTTGGCCACTTATGTCTTAGTTAACAAAAGTTTGCAAAGTGGATAATCCATGCTGTTTAAGTGCATGTAGATAGATCAGTGAGGATTCCCAACTTTTTATATTTCAACAAGTAATGTTTCTTCCTGTCCCCTTCCTCCAATTTGTGCTAAAAATTCTCCTAGGAAAAAACTGGGAATTATATTATCTGTGTCTGTAAATGATGTAATGTGAACATTTGTATGCTTAATCTATGGGTGGTCTCATTTAATGGCTAAATTGACATGGAAATGCACCAAACCTTTTGTCTTTCTATAAACTGCAATTCTGTATTCATTTCACTTATTGATTTGTCAGACCAAGGTTCTTTTGTTAGTTTAGTATAATAGCATTAAGTGAGATTGGTTTATTTCTAGAACTTGTAACACAATAGTAGGTGTATCTAATTACCCTTAAAATTGTCATCTTCTCTCTTTAGTTACTATGCAAGCCAAAAGAAGATATTTGAAATTAATCCTAAACATCCTCTCATAAAAGACATGCTCAGGCGTGTTCAGGTAAGAATGTTTAAAGGTACAGATGAATCTAATGCAGTTGTGTACTTCTAAAATTTTGGACAAGAAATGCAAAAAATAATTCAACTCTTGCAGTCTATGAGACTTGATGAGTCTCAAACTTGAAATTTCTAAACAATTTCTATAGTATCCTATGTTTGTTCTTTTTTTTGTCAGGAAAATGAAGATGATCAAATAGTTGCAGATCTTGCTGTGGTTCTGTTTGAAACTGCTACCCTAAGATCAGGTTATCTGCTCCCAGATACAAAGGAATATGGAGAAAGGATAGAACGAATGCTTCGCCTAAGTTTGAACATTGACCCAGAGGAAAAGGTTAGTAAAGATCAAATACTATAATACAGAAGTCACCATCCTGTTCATACTGGTGGCCCGGAGGGAAAGGGAGCGGGTGGGAAATTTGCATGTGCGAACAGGGCCGTGCGCAGCTGCATGGTGCTAGCAGCCCCGTTTGCGCAGTGCTAGCTGCTATTGCTGCACACAAGTGCAAACAGGCCGCACAACCTGCATGGCATTAGCGGCCCCATTTGCATAGGCGGTAGCTGCCACCTCTACTAGCGCCACATGCATGTGCAAATGGGCTGTGTAACCCCGTGTGCGCAAGCGGCCCCATTTGCATGTGTTCACATGCACTATCCACCAGCACTGCTAGCCCCACAAACATGCGCAAACGGGTCTGCGGGCTCTAGCACAAGTGGAGAAGTGCGCACACTGGCCAGCGTGGCCCGCAGCCCGGTGGCCAGTAGCCCACAGCCTGGCAATGGGCTACAGTCCATAGGTTGGGGGCCCCGGCTGTAATACATGCAGGAGGTAGACTCATGACTTACATTTTGAGTTGAACGTGCCAGAATAATTCTTGACACCATTTTCTTCTTCTAGGTTAACACTTCTGATTCAAAATATTGTCTACTTATCATTCCTATTCTCTTTTACAGGTAGTCCTTGACTAAAGATTACAATTAAACAAAATTTCCTTTGCTAATCAAGGAGGTTAAGTGAGGTGTGCCCCATTTTATGATTTTTTTACCATGGTTGTTAAGCAAATCACTACAGTTAAGTGAGTCATGCAGTTGTTAAACATCTGGCCTCCACCTTTGACTTTTGCTTGATGAAAGCTCCCTAGAAAGGCTGCAAATGATAATCCCAGAACCCCAGGACACTGCAACTATTGAAAATACATGCTGGTTGCCAGCATAAAAAGTTTGATCACGTACTCCAATGGTCATAGGTGTGAGAGCTGGTCATAAGTCACTTTTTTCAGTGACGTAACTTTGAATAGTTATTGAATGATTGTAAGTCGAGGACTACCCTGTATTTGAAGACCCCATTCAACTGTGCTGGAATTACATCAGCACATTTGGCTTATAAAAAAATCAGCATTTCAAGTACACTCATTCAGCAATCTTTTAAAGTTATGACACTGCACATTCTGTGATACTAACATTTCTGTCTGGAACCTTTAACTGGGCAAAACAGTGCATCATAGAGCAAAACCTTTTCAAGCAAGGTACATCAAATTGGCTAATTTACAATGCATTTACAATACAGGACTTCCATGGAATTGAAGTGTGTCAACTTTTATAAAACATTTTACAACAATACAAAACAAACATTTCCTGTGGCCAACACCTGATGTTTGAGTGTGCATGAGCTACTTTCAAGGCAGGCACTTCTCTGAATATCTCCATAATTTTTAAAGAATTTTTCCAGCATTAGTCCTCAACTTACAACTATTTATTTGGTGACCATTCAAATCATACCAACACTAAAAAAAGTGACTCACGGCTGATCCCCACACTTATGACTGTTGCAACATCCCCAGTCACATGATCAAAATTAGGTCCTGGCAATCATCATGTATTTACAATGATTGTAGCATCCCAGGCTGTTTCTTACAAGCAAAGTTGGAAAGCCAGATTCATTTAATAGTGTGATGCACTTAACTAGTCATTATTTAACCATGGCAAAAGAAGGTGGCAAAATCAGACACAATTTAACTGCCTTGCTTAGCAGTGGAAATTATGCTCTGCCATTATTGAAGGCACTGGGAAATATATTTGAAACAATGACCCTATTATGTAGTGATATCTAAAACATACTTTGAATTGATCAGGGTTTCATAGTCCTGTGTGTGTGTGTGTGTGTGTGTGTGTGTGTGTGTGTCACATAATCAAATATAATGGTATATAAAGCTTGTTAAATATTTCTGAAAGGTGGAAGATGAGCCTGAAGAACCAGAGGAAGCTGATGAAGAAGTAGAACCAGAAGAGGAAATTGAAGCTGATGAAGATATTGAAGATAGTGAAACAGAGAAAACGGTCAGTATGGTTAGGAAGAACTGGGGCGGGGGGGGAGGAGGGAAGATAACAGGTGTATAAGGTACTATCCTTTCTATCAGTATAATTTGTCTCAGTTGACAGAAGTTTGGGATATAAGCATTATAGTATTTACCACCAGCACTACCATTCTGGGCCTTGTGTTTTTCACTTGATTTTAGAACCAAGTATGTCTAGCCCAGTGGTGGTGAACCTATGGCACGCATAGAGGTGGCACTCAGAACCCTCTCTGTGGGCACATGCGCCATACCCCGGAGATGGTAACCAGCCGCCCACTAACTCACTGAGGTCCTACGTGGCCGGATGCATCCCAGCATCCATGCACTTGCTGGCCTCTGTGGGGGGGGGGGGGGGGCTGATGGTGTCAGGTAGCAGCCGCCCTGGTTCCTACCTTGTCTTGCCTGCGACAATGGCACCCCCACCCTGCCTCACCCTGCAGGATGAGCCTCCTGCCCACCGCCCCACCCACCAGAGACCCCCTGAATGTCCCCCAACTCTGCCCGGCCCCTACAGGCATCCCTCCCCAGGAGCAACATTGAGCTGGCCACACCCACCTATCTGCCATGACCACTGTAGCCACATCCGGCGGGCCACATCCACCCGGCGGGCCACACCCATCCGGCATCCGGTGATGCATAAGTGGGATTTGAGTTGCAGTTTGGGCACTCGGTCTCTGAAAGGTTCGCCATCACTGGTCTAGGCTCTTTAACAGTGTCATAATAAACTTGCACTTGCTGGATCTCTGTCATCCTCCTTTCCTCAAAATGTGGAAGCTATAAAATTCCTGTCTGATGAAGAAGCCACAGTGAGAACAGGCAGGATATAGTTGCCATTTTTAAACCATGCTGTACAAAATAAAAAATGGAAAGTTGAAACATGTAAAAGTGACTTATTGGGGATTCTGACATCTATAAGATTTAATTTAATCTATACTTTGTTTCTTGCAGGAGTCTACAGAGGGAAAAGATGAATTGTAAAATGCACTCTCAAATACTATCCTGTGTTTTGGATGAAGCAGGAATGTGAACTGAATTTGTTTTTTCACTGTAAAATGTTGGGGGGAGGCTTAGGGTTTGGGCAGAATTTTTTTAAGTTGCATTTTTTAAACATTCCTCACAATGTAAATTTGTACTATTTAACTGACTGCTTGGTGTAAAATCTTGTCATGTGTACAAAATTAAAATGTTCACACCAGTTGTATGGGACATTGAAGTGCTTATTTACTTGCATTGGATGTAAAGGAAACTTGTACAGACTCAATTTGGCAGTCACATTCTTCTGTAACAGAAGAAATATTGGAAAAGAAAACACTCAGGACAGGAATTATTTTCTAAAGGTCACATTAGAACTACTATCTTTCAATTATTTCCTATTCTACTAAAATGTGTACCAGAATCTTAGCCTGTTAAGGCAGGCTTCTGCTTAATGGAGTCTATTTTTAACTAGTTGGCAAAACTTAGGGAGTCTTAATTTTGCAGTAATTCATCCTAGTTTCCTCTGAACAGGTCTTACATACCTTGGATTTAGTAAATTGCTATTTAAACTTTATTTTGTGAATCACTAATATATTCCCTAATTTGGGTTAGATTTTGCTGGAGGGAAGGCAGGTGTTACCCTGCAGTGATGCTTTAAGATAAAGTAAGCCATCAGATACTCAAAAATGAATAACTCATGTATCTCAAGCTGGTCAGCATCTATTTTTAAACAAGGAGCAAGTAATGGTTTTATATACAGTGGAACCTTTAGCTACCTATTATATCCCGAGAGCTAAATGGACTTGAATTCCGACAGATCTTTACCATAAAGGTTGTATAATTTTAAGTCAATTACACCTCAGCCAAACTTCACATATGTAATATTTAAACTGAAATAAAAGAGAAAAATTTGGTAATTTTCAAAAAGAAGCATAAGGCAGTAAAACAGTGGCTATGTGCACCTTACAGAAGAGTACTAACTGAAGTTATTGCATGCCATAATAGGCATGTTTTATGCCCATTCTCATGCTTCCTCAAACAATCTCTACTTGTAACATGGAGTTTCTGTTATCTTGTTCAATGCTTTTCTGTGAGTGGAAGATATTCTGAGTTGACTTAAACAGTAATAAAACTTGATAACTTGAACAGTGTTAATACAAGGAATTGCTGCAGTTTTATCAAGTAAATGTTTGAATTTCATTCCTAGATTCTGTTTCCGATGTTAAAATTTGTTTTCCCAGCATTTTAATACACATATTTAGACCCAGATTTAATGGAGGATTTCACTCAGATGTAGAATCAAAATATTTCTGTTAGACCTAAGAATAAAAATATGTATATGAAGAATGCATAAATGATTTGTTCTTTTCAGTTGCCTCATCAAGGTTCGATCCTACTTACGCAGTTCAAGAAACTACTTGCTACTCATATTTAGGGTAGGTACTTAGGTCTACTAAGTAGTTATAACTGCAGTGCAAAATACACAGAAAATTGAGTCATATCTTTACAATAAAGCACTTCCAATTAAATACACTGGATTATGTATTTTTGAATAGATTGGAAGAGTCAGTATCTTTTTGCGCTTAATGCTGATAACTCTGAATCAAACCTTCAAAATACATAGACCAGTTTCCCCAGCCTGGTATCCACCAAGTGTGCCAACTACAGTTTCCATAAGTTTCCAGCCAAAAAGAAACGAATTAACATTTACAGAAGCTGTATATTTAAACATATTTATTATCAGAAGTTGATAGTGAAAATTCAAAATGGTCAAGAACAAATATCACTGAAATAAAATTGCTAAGTTAATGACACAGGATGCCTGCTTTGCAGAAAACCATATTACAGTATAGTAGTATGGGAGGCTAAACCTAATTTTCAAATGGATACCTTGTTTAATTGGCTTATAGCAAAACATGTTTCCAAACAGAGCAAATGTACTGAACTAAAGGTTGCAGGTAGATAACGGAAACAAAAGCAATGGCTGAGCAGATCGCCTTTGTAGGGGAAAAAAAAAAAAGACAGTAGGTAAGGCAATCTTGGACTCAAAAACAATACAGATAGAAAATAAGTCTTTTTAAATATTCATGATTTTCCATTTATACATGTTCAAATAATAAATGCTAATAAGAAGCACTTTATGGAGGATGCAACATTGATTCTTTTACGTTCGTGGTTGTAAAGGTTGAACTGGCTCATTCGTATTTTTTAGACTCGACATTTCTGTTTTGAGCTCCCCAGCTTTCAGAGGAATATCTGGTGTCTACAAATAAATAATATCCAAAAACAAATTCATCAAATGTCCATGTCAATCCACACATTTTAGAATTCCAGTTTACATTTAGCACTCTTACTAGAAACTTACAGATAGATTGTTCATTCTCAGACACTGACAGCACCACCACCAGGTGGGTTTGTAACTGGCTGACAAATTGAATTAAACATGTAGTCCTCAACAGAACTACATCCACATGGAGAGAAGTAAGCAGTGGGGTATCCCAAGGTTCCATTTTAGGCCCAATACTGTTCAATATCTTCATAAATGATCTAGATGGAATTGAAGGAGAACTCATCAAATTTGCAGATGACAAAGCTGGCAGGAATAGCCAACACCCTAGAAAAAAGCTGAAGAACCAAAAAGATCTTGACAGACTTGAACACTGGGCCCTATCAAATAAAATGAAATTCACTAAAGATAAATGTAAGGTTTTACACTTAGGTTAAAAAAAATCAACTACAGGTATAGAGTAGGACAAACTTGGCTTAATGCCAGTAAATGTGAGAGGGATCTTGAAGTCCTAGTGGACAATCACTTAAATATGAGCCAACAGTGTGTGGCAGCAGCAAAAAAAAAAAGCCAATGCAATCCTAGGCTGCATTAATAGAGGGATCGAATCAAGATCATGTGAAGTTCTAATACTACTTTACAAAGCATTAGTAAGACCACACTTATAATACTGCATCCAGTTCTGGTCACCACAATACAAAAAAGATGTTGAAACTCTGGAAAGAGTGCTAAGAAGATTAACAAAAATAATTAGAGGACTGGAGGCAAAACGTACGAAGAATAGTTGCAGGAATTGGGTATGTCTAGTTTAATGAAAAGAAGGACTAGGAGGACATGATAGCAGCGTTCCAATATTTGAGAGGCTCCTACAAAGACAAGGGAATCAAACTATTTTCCAAAGCACCAAAAAGCAAGACAAGAAACAAGGGATGGAAATTACCCAAGGAGAGAAGCAACCTAGAACTAAGGAGAAATTTCCTAATGGTGAGAACAATCAACCAATGGAACAGCTTGCCTTCAGAAGCTGTGGGTGCGCCATTACTGAAGGTTTTCAAAAAGAGATTGGACAACCATTTGTCTGAAATGATATAGGATTTCCTGCTCGAGCAGGGGGTTAGAAGACCTCCGAGGTCCCTTCCAACTCTATTGTTCTATGTCAGGGGTAGGCAACCTTGGCTCTTTTATGACTCGTGGACTTCAACTCCCAGAATTTCTGAGCCAGTTCTATGTTCTATGTTCAGTGAGTAGCTCCAAGAAGCAACTCGAACTGAAAGTGAAAAATTACCTCATCTGTGACCCCTTAAATGCTTTTTGGTGCATCTGATACATAGAGAAAATGGAGCACACCTGACATCTTTAATAAGCTGTCGATATCTGAATTGAAAAAAATCCAAACCATCACTATTTTTATTTATAAAAAACCACTAATTTATTTAAATTTATTTACAAATCACTATTTCTAGATTTTATAGCCATATATGCCAAGTCTAGTGCTTAGGGCCAGTTTTGCATTCCCAATCAACTCAATCCCCGGTTGTACTGCTTTGACCTCCAAGCGGAAAGATACAGCATAGGTTGTCAACTAACATATAAGTAACTTCAATTAAATGATAAGACACATTTCCAAGTTTTGAGTTAAAAAAAAAAGTTTGTGTTTATTTTTCAATATTTTTTTTTTAATCTGAATTGAGTCCTGGGGAGAAGAACCTGTAGCTAAGCCACAAAAGTAACCTACTACAAAGCTCTCATCTCTGCAAAAGACAAGACTTGTAGGTGAGGGAAGGCAATCAACCAAAGAGCTATGCAATGTATTCAAAGGGGTAGAAGAAAATCCCAATAATAAGTTATCTTTAATAAGGCTCTCTTTCTGAAGCAGAAGACAAGTCAGTAATCAAAAAAGGGGGGAAAAGACACTTACAAGGTCAGGTCTGTAAAATTTGTGGACGGTTTGTGCACCAGCAAGCATGGTCAAGAAGGTTGCAGTAAGGATTTTCAAGTATTTGGGCCAACTTAGACCGGCAGGCATGGCTCTGGACCTCAGAAAAAAAAAGTATTGTAGAAGTTAAGACATGGTCTTCCCCAGCAGGAATCAATCTTCTATCTCAGGGCTTTTCAACCTTTTCACCCATTGTACCACTTTTAGGATATGGCAATATCCGAGTACCACCAGTCGCCTAGCAAGGTGTCAAAAACTTGATGACCCTCCCCCCCCAAAAAGGAAAAAAGTGATAAAGTATAGGTAGTCCTCGACTTACAACAGTTCACTTAGTAACTTACAATGGCACTGAAAAAGTGCCCCTCAAGCCACCGCCAAGCAAGACACCTGCCTCCCCACCCAGTGGCGCTCTTCCTCCTGTCTGAGGTTTCCATTGTTGTGAGCATTTCGGTTGAGGATTGGCAGCGGGGGTGGGGTGAGGGGTGTTAGGTTTTTATTTCCATCCTCTGCTGGGTGGTTGCAGCAGGTTTTGATCACTTCACATAACCCTGGGACACTATGACCATCATAAATATGAATCAGTTGCCAAGCATCTGAATGTAAATCACAAGACCTGGAGATGCTGCAACATTCCAGCTGATCGGCGCTTCTTCTGGGCTTAGCAAAAGCATCAGGATCAGTGCCGAGTTCCAGCTGGAGCCTGGCGCTGATCCTGGCACTTCCGCTGAGCCCTGACAGCCCTGCAGCTCCAGCCATCTCTTGCTCATACTTGTGCGGTGCTGCCACTGGTTCAGCTCATTCCCCTCCCCCGTTACCACTTTTCTAGAATGTTCGCGTACCATTTGCCACGTGCCAATGTACCACAGGTGGTACCCGTACCACTGGTTGAAAAGCCCTGTTCTAACTAGCCAGAGCTGGGAAGTATATAAGAAATTGGGAAGGAAAAATAATTATTTCAGCAGTCCCAAAGCTGCTTTGGGATATAGAGCAAACCACTGA